ATATATACCAATATATATATAAATAATATATATATATATAATATATATATAGTATATATATATATATAATAGAGAGAGAGAGAGAGAGAGAAGAGAGAGAGAAGAGTTAGAATATAGAGATCAAGGGTTAAGAAACTGGGCTGCACACTGGATTCTCACCATATTGCTATGACCAGACCATATACAAGGATTACCCGTGGTGGTCATATCATAGTCATATCATATCATTATTATATATGATCATACTATGATATCCATGATCAGTATGATGATAGTACTATATATAACTTGGTAGACGGAGAGTGAGAGACAGGCAGCGTTACTCCACTTGCAATGGCCATCGTAAGATCATAGTCTCGCAGTACCGTAGGTAATTGAGTTTAAAATATTCTAGCACACTTAATAGATGATGAGTGGGTTGTTATCTAACGTTTGGATACTTTTCGTTTTTATTACACTGGCTGTAGTGACGAGATACTATATATGTATATACATGTGTGCATGCGTGGGTGTGTGTGTCCACGCGAGCGCACAGCCCAGGCGTGGCTATACTGTTTGCGTAATTCTCCTAGAACACTTAATAGATGGAGATGTTATCTTATATTCAGATACCACTTAACGGGATATAGCACCAAGTAGCGGTACTCCTGTTCATGTTGTGGATGTATATGGAGGGGAGACACGCCCGCGGACCCATGGCGGGGCGTTCAATGTTTTTCAGCAGTGCGTATAGGAGACCTTATAGGATAGAGTAATGTTACACACGACTGGGCGCTCCTGCTGAGAGAGAGAGAGAGAGAGAGAGAGAGAGAGAGAGAGAGAGAGAGACAGAGAGCGAGCGAGCGCGCGAGAGAAAGAAATAGAGAGAGCGCGCAAGTAAAAGAAAGAAAGAGGGAGAGAGAGAGACAGAGAGAGAGAAAGAGAGAGAGAAAGAGAGATAGATAAAGATAGAGAGCGAGAGAGCGAGAGAGAGAGAGAAAGAGAGAGAGAGAGAGTGCGAGAGAAAGAGGGATTGATAGAGATGGAGATAGAGAGAGCAAGAGAGAGAAAGAGAGAAAAAGAGAAAGAGAGATAGATATAGATATAGAGAGAGAGAGATAGCGAGAGAGAGAGAGAGAGAGGGAGAGAGAGAGAGAGAGAGAGA